CTCAAAAAATGCGTCTTAAAAAACTCTACAAAATTAAGTAAAAACATCCCAACTTTCAAAACATGTGTTTCAAGTTATGGGCAAAAAACGATTTTTCAAAAATTTTAAAAGTCAAAAAAAATATAGTTAATATGTATTAATTTGTCCCAAAGTTTTCTCATTTTATGTCCCCAAGTGAGATCTACAATTTAAAAAAAAATTCAGCCCTAAAGCTCTTATAGAATTTGAGATATTTATGAAAATGTAATGTATATACACACACACACACACACATACGGAATGACATTTTCTAAAAATGTCATTTTTCGATTCCTGAGGTCAAAAAACATAAAGATATCTCAAAAAAATAAGTTCGAAAAATTTCGCCAAAACAATACTTCCTCCATGAGGAAGCAATTAAAGAAAATATCATAAAAAGAAATTGAAGAAATCATCTTCTATCGGAAAACATAATGTTCATGAAATGGACATAGACTTATTTTAAAAAGAACAAATGGATTAATAAAAAAAATTAAATAGGGTAAATGCACCAGTGGTGGATCAGGCACCAATGGTGGATCAACAGCGTTAAAAAGGTTAAAATAAGCTATTTCTAATTGAACTAAATGTTTCAATCGTTTAGGGGAGGTGTATAGATAAGTTTTATGAAATAAAATCATTTGAAAATATTTAGGAAAACAAAGCAATACAACAATTGTTGATTTTATGCTTTTTCACATGAAATCTTAAAAAATAATTGTTTAGTCTAAATTTTTTTAATTTTCAGAGTAGAAAGTAATCAACTCTTTCCATATAGAATACTTTTGGAAAAAAATTTACATCATTAAGTTATTTTTGTGTAGTGTAAAGGGGTAAATGATCCATGACTGGAGCAATGTCATTATATTGTTGAATGTGGGTGTTAGGGGGTGTTACAAGCAGGTCGAAAACTACACGATAGTGTCCTTGAAGACTCTTTAATTCATACTATTGTAAAGATTACCCTATATTTTTCATCTGAAAAAATCTGTACACCTTTAAAGTCAAAATAATAAATTTAGTAGGCTTAATTGATCCACCACTGGTGCAGTTACCCTATAATACCAATAAAAAATAAAGACTGTAAAATAAATAAATTTCCGATTTGGGTTAGGTTTTTATAAAAATTACGATCAATATTTACTTTTTTCCACGCATCGCTTGATTTCTCTACTCCAACTTCTACAGCATTTAATACTCCAGCAAGTTTTTTCCACAAATTTTCCTACATTTTTAAATAATTAGTTAATATTTTTTTATTTAATCTAAATATTATAATTTTTATTTATCTTACTTTTTGTGAAAAAATTTATTAATCATTTTAGTAGATTGAAAAGTGAATAATTAAATGAAATTTTTTTTAAACTGCATTTTAAATAATTTTAATTTCGCATTTTATTTACAATTATAAATGTAAAAGTACCTTCTTTCCCTTATAATCGCTTGCATGTTTCACTTTTCCGGAAGCAAGATCTTTATTTTTCACCATGAAATTCAACATGACTTTTCTTTGAGTCGTACTGCACTTTGTCAATCCCATTTTTAAGAGATGACTTTTTTTAATATACCAACAGACTTAGATTTTTTCAAGATGTCAGTTTAAGACAGAAAATGTCAATTACGCAATTACTAACTGTAATGAATGTAATTGAAAGAAAAAAATAACAATTGAACAATTCTTTTCAATTGAAGGTAAATATTTTTCAAATAATATTTAATTTAAAATAACTTTTAAAATGAATATTTTTTCCAGTGAAACTAATAATATTCTTCCTAAATATAAACTTATGTAAAAAATATTTGTCAAATATAATTTTTTTAGTCACAAAAATTGCTCACTTTAATTATTTACCTATAATTTATTTATATTTTTTCTTGATACTTTTCCTATCAAAAATCCATTCTCATATTTTTAATGAATTATTTTAAAAATATTTAATTTTTTTTTAAAAAGGGTTAATCTTTAAAAAATGTTTTTGAAACAAAATCATTTTGTTAAAAAACTCTGGTTGCAGTAACCAAATTTTGCATAACTCAAAAAAGTAATAATTTTTCTCCATCAAAAATTTTATTAGACCAATAAAATATTTTTTGAGATAACCAATTATTATTAAATAAAATCTTTTATCCAAAAATATTCTTTGCCTAAACTCCTACAAAATTATTTTATTTGTTTAACCAAATTTTTATTTTTTTAAATAAATATTTAAAAAAAATAAAGAAATCTAATATTTTTTCAAAAATCTATTTTTTATATACACGTGATTTTTTTTCTGGCATTAAATATAAATTTTTAAAAAATATTGATAATTTTTTTTTTACCTGACTCAGACAAAAATTTTTAAATAATTTTTTTTGACGTACGTTTTTTTTAATATTTGTGTATTTTAATAAAAAGTAAAAATTTGAAAAAAACACTTATTAGTTTAATAATTTCTTGGTTAATATGTAAAACAATATTTTATAAGTTTGCTTTAATTGAAACAAAACATTAAAAGAAATTTACAATTGAATTGAATTTTTACAATTTCAGAGACAAAAAATCAGTAAAAGTTTGCGAATAATATTGAAAATATAAAATACTTAACCTGGGAGTATAGTAAAATTTTTCTCTTGTAAAGAAGACACAATTGAAAAATCAAAAAAAAGATTATAAATAATATAACTTTAAAAAATAAAAAATTTTAAATATAAATGAAAATATACAAATAATAACTTTTGGCTAAATATTAACATTTTATTCTTAAAGAATACATTTAGAAAAAATCTATAACATGAAATAAAATAGTGATTCAAACAAAAGTTTCATGTGAGGATTTATGTTTAATATATAATTTATGTTTTGGAAAAATTGTCGTTAATTTTATTGAGAATGTTGAGTTGGACTTTATCTTTCTTTTTTTGATATTCCAAAGCCTCGGAAATAATTTTTATTTTCTTTTGCTTTAATGCAATCACGCATCTTTGATAATCATTTAATTTGTCAGCGCTGAAAAATTTAGTCCCTGGTTTTCTCTTTCTTGTATAGTAAATGTATTTTTTAGTTAATTCAAATAAATTAGTTTACTAAATTAATAGTTAAATTGATAGTTAAATGAAATTTACTGTGTAATATTAGGACTAATTTAATAAACATTTAAGAGAAATATATATTAGCTACATTTCCCGAAAAGAATTTCGATTAATTAAAAAAGACAACTTTTTAAACGTAAAAAAATAATGAAAAATCATTTCAAATATAATACACAAAGAGCAAACCTCTATGAAATAAAAAATTTTAATTATATTATAAATACTTAGTCTATAACATATACACTATTATAAGAAAATAAACATTTATATAATCATTTGTATAAAGTTGAATTGATAAAGTAGAATTTTTGAAGACAAAAGATCTCAAAAAATGAACAAAATGATTTTATTTTTATAACCAAAAATATTTAAATAAATTAGAAAGTAAAAAATTAAGACACATAAAATTGAAATAATAGTTATGAGTAGTAGAGCTAGGGGGGTTCTGGGCCACTTACCGACCGAGGTCGGTAAGGTAGGAATCTTTTATCAACATTTTTTACCTGCGTTGCAATGTGGTGTTCTTCTTTACCGACCGTTCTAGTTTCGGCTGCCACCGCTAGATGGCGCCACTTTATTTTCGCCCCGAATTTAAAATTTCCCGCTGTAATTACCGACCATGCTAGTTCTGGCTGCCACTGCTAGATGGCGCTACTAGTAAATAGCCCAATTGTGCTAACTGAATTTTTAAATGTTTGAATTTTGGCGGGAAAAATGTGTGTTTTGCTGAAGGGGATTTTTTACCGACATTTTTTAGTTTGTGCTGCCACCGCTAGTTGGTGCCAATATTTTTTTACGTTGAATTTAAAGTCGCTTACTGAAGGGTTTTTTTTTTTAAATTTGCCGCCCAATTTACTGATAGTTTTATTTTTAACTGCCACTACTAGATGTCACCATTTTAATTTATTACATGATAAAAAGTCACTTGCTGAGAGGAGATTTTTTAAATATTTAAATTTTTTACACTAATTTCAGTGTTCTATCTTTCCGACTGAGAAACTATCTATCCCTGGTGACTTTTTAAATATTCCCGCTTGGTAATTAACTTAATTTGTTGAAGTTCTATTCTAAACAATATGTTTACATCACCCGCCTGTATTTGAATTTAAACGCTCCGTGTTCATCTGTGAAGCCCCCTTCCCTTACCACTACGAGCCGGGGATTCCCCAGGCTGTGGCGGAGCGCGCATAGGTGGGTGTGAAGAGATGCGCGCGCCAGTGGAGTGGTGGACGGCACCACAGTGTGAGTGGAGTGTAGTGGGGACTCGCGTATATCTGCCGGTGCACGAGCTCAAGAGAGTCATTATATCTCTTTCAGCTTTAGCAGCAGCAGTTCCAGAGTTTTTAGGATTATCTTTCAGCTTTTGCTTTCAGAATTTTTTCAGCTCCTATTTATTTTTATTCAATGTTTATTTTTCAGAGTTTTTTTTTAATTTCTATTTTTCTTCTAGTTTTTAGTCATTTTTTCTTTTCAGTTGGTGTTGGATATTTTTTCTTGGGTTTAGGTTTTTTTTCAGTTGGTGGTGGATGTTTTTGTTTTAGTTTTAAGTTTCTTTTTTCAGCTGGTGGTGGTGGTGGGATTTTTTATTTTAGGTTTTTTTAGCTTTTAAGATGCCAAAGTGTAAAACGGAGAAGAAATCTCGGCAAAGAATCGAAATGGAGGAATATTTCGAGGTATTTTAAGAATTAGACAATTTTATTGAAATTGCGGAACGTGAGCTCATTACTACTATGTCAATGAGTGGTGATGAGAAACTCATTAGCGCATTCGAGTGGCAAAACAAGTGTTCTCATTATAAAAATATATTTCGTAAATTTTTGCGAAGATCTGACTTGTCTTCAGCTCAAAAATCAAAATGTTTAAATTTATGTCAGAAACTAGAATACTTGCGTTGCAATTTCGATGTGCTAATGAAACGCGGGGCAGGTATGCAAGTCTCGAATGATAGATTGAAATGGGTTGACTTTGATAAAGCTTTTGATAATCGTTTACAAACAAGTGCTATTATAAATTTAGATTACAAGGATGTTAATGAGTTTTTTGACGATGCCTATGTTTTATTTAAATTTAAGATTTAAAAAGCTTTAAACAGATTTAGTCCGATAAAAGTTTATACCGTCTTGGTTGCAAAATTTAAAAAAGATTCAAATGATGGAAAAGAGGAGTTTGATTTGAAAAGTTTTATCGCGAAAACAGAAGAAATTTTGATGACAACCCATTTGGATGAGTGGTATAATGTTAATGTTAAGCAACCCACTTTGAAAAAGATTGAAGAATTCCAAGAGAAGGATTCTAATTGGAATCTTGAATCTATTCACAGGTTAGAGGTTAACATTAATAAGTTCAACCCTATGCGCGCAAGTTCTTACATAAATTTGCCATCTATTATTAATCTAAAGCATGCCTGTGTCAATGTTCATAATACTGATAACCAATGTTTTAAATGGGCAATTTTATCTGCTTTACATCAAGTTGTAAACCATCCTTATCGAGTATCTAAGTATAAGCCTTATGAAAATGAACTTAATTTTAACAGAATTGAGTTTCCTGTTGCATTGAAAGACATTGCAAAATTTGAAGATCTAAATAATAATATTTCAGTTAACGTATATGGTCTGTCAAAACGAAATGAGAATTTTAGTGTATATCCTCTACATCTCACAAAACAAAAGAGAGTGGGCCATGTTAATCTTTTACGTATTGAAGACCATTACATAGATGAGAGTCTTAGTGAAAAAGAAGAAGAAGATGAACAATCAATCATCTCTTTCAACTATCACTATGTCTGGATAAAAGATTTATCGAGACTTATTGGATCACAGTTGTCTAAAAAAAAAAGTAAAAAGTACATCTGTGACCGTTGCCTCCATTATTTTGGAGATGAACTAAAGTTTTTTGAACACGAAGAAAATTGTCGAAAGATGAATGATACAAAAATTAGGTTGCCGCAACAAGGTAAAAATACTATTGAATTTAAAAATTTTCAAAACAAAGAACGTATACCTTTTATTATTTATGCGGATTGTGAGAGTCTTTTAATTCCTGTGGAAACACCACAAGAGACAAACAAAACTGAAGTCTTTCAAAATCATAAATTACTTAGTATTGGTTACTATTTAAAATGTGCTTTTGACGACTCCTTGTCTGTGTACAGTGCTTCTCCAATAGATGAGGAAGACCCAGCAAAGTGGTTTTCCAAGGAATTAAAAGACTTGTCTAACAATTTAGATACTCGATTTAAAAATCCTGTGCCTATTGAAATATTAACTCCACAGCAAATGGCAGCCTTTAGAAATGATAATACATGTCATATTTGTAAAAAGAAAATTGCGCATGGGGAAGTAAAAGTAAGAGATCACTGTCATCTAACAGAGAAGTTTCGTGGACCCGCACACCAAGAATGTAATATTAATTATCATGAATCGCAGACCATACGTGTTGTTTTTCATAACCTAAGCGGTTATGACGCTCATTTTATTATTGAAGCTATTGCTACGGAATTTGATGGTAAAGTTGATCTGCTTCCGATAAACAAAGAAAAGTATATCAGCTTTACTAAAAACATAAAAAACAGTTTTGTAAAGTTTCGCTTTATTGATTCCTTTAAATTCATGGCATCATCTCTGGACAAGTTAGCATCCTATCTCGATGAATATAAAATTGTAAATTCAATTTTTTCCAACTACAGCGATGACAAAATTCAATTATTAACGCGAAAAGGAGTTTTTCCCTATGAGTATATTGACTCGAGGGAAAAACTCGTTGAGACTCAATTACCACCAAAAAAAAATTTTTATAGCACTCTAAACGATTCAAATGTTTCTGACGAGGATTATGCTCATGCGCAGAATGTGTGGAATGAATTTAATTGTCAAAATCTCGGTGAATATGTGTACTTGTATATGAAAACTGATATTTTGTTACTTGCGGACATTTTCGAAAATTTCAGAGATCAATGTTTAAACGCGTACGGTCTTGATGCAGCACATTATTATACGACACCCGGTCTAACCTGGGATGCCATGTTAAAGTATACAAATGTAAGATTGGAACTTCTCACCGATATTGATATGGTGATGTACATTGAACGAGGAATAAGAGGTGGGGTGAGTCAGTGCACTAACCGATATGCAAAAGCTAATAATCCATACATGGAGAAATTTAATGACAAAAAGGAGACATCTTACATCGTATACTTTGATGCAAACAACCTTTATGGTTGGGCCATGGTCCAGTCGCTTCCCTATGGTGGTTTCGAGTGGGTAGAAAATGTCAACAATAGTTTTGATTTTAATGTTCCAGATGATGCACCATTTGGCTACATTTTAGAAGTTGACTTAGATTACCCCAATGAACTGCATGAGAAACATAGTGATTTTCCGTTTTGCCCTGAACGGATGTTAATGGATGTTAAATTAGTGACAAAGTGGGAGGGTAGGTATGGAGCTGAAGCTTTGATCTCAAAACCTAACTTCCACAGCAGAACCATCTTTAATGAAAACTTGGTTGCTGTGGAACTTAAGAAAATTGAGGTTTTTATGAACAAGCCACTCTATATCGGCCTTAGTGTATTAGACATTTCGAAAACATTAATGTATGACTTTCATTATGATTATATGTTGCAAAAGTATGATGAAAAGAAATGTAAATTCTTGTATACTGATACGGACAGTCTCATTTATGAAATCAAGTGTTCAGATGTCTATGCAGACATGAAAATAGATATTCATAAATTTGACACTTCGGATTATCCCGTAAATAATGTGTATGGTATTCCGCAAGCCAACAAAAAAATGTTAGGTCTCATGAAAGATGAGTGCAGTGGTAAAATTGTAACGGAATTTGTTGGCTTGCGGAGCAAAATGTACAGCGTGCGAGTTGAAAATCAAGACTTTATTAAAAAAGCTAAAGGCGTAAAATCTAGCGTTGTAAAGAAAACGATCACTTTCGACGACTATATGTATTGCTTGAGAAATGTTAAAATGCAATCTAGAATTTAATATTGTATTAGATCTAAACTTCACAATGTGTATACTTTAAAGGAATCGAAAATTGCTCTTAGTCCTTATGATGACAAAAGATTTTTGTTAGCTAATAGTACGGACACTCTTGCATGGGGTCATTGTAAAATTCGAGAAATTATGGATGATGATGAACCAATGTAAATAGAAAATGTTTTATGAGAGAGAGAAATGGTTGTTTTTAAATGAAGAGAGATGTTATACATTTTATATTTACTTTATTTAATAAAACCTTAATCTAGTTACATTACTTTACTTATTTTTTAAAAAAGAAAACTTTAATTTATTTCAATTTTAACTTAACCTTCTTTTAACTTTCACTTAACTTATTTTAACTTTAGTTTAACATCACTTAAACGTTAGTTTAACATTACTTTAACGTTATTTTAACGTTACTTTAACTTATTTTAACTATATTACATATCAAATTTCTTAATCCAACTATTGTGTGAATTATCAAATCCAAGCCATTTTACGTAGACATTATTGCCACGAGTCTTGAGAACTTTTTCTATGAGGTATACATCTGGATGTTTTACTTGTAACAGTTCTTCCTCATAGAAACCACCTTCAATAGGTTCATTTTGGTAATCGGTAAGTTTGTATGTTACTGGTTTTGTCGATTTAACTTGATCCACGGTGAATATTTCCGTTGTCCAGTTGGGAGTATATCCTTTTTCAAAGATATTCTTGTACTTGCTGACTCGAACTCTGTCACCAACCTTGAATTTTGTCCTTTTCAGTGGAATTCTTCTCAGTTTACGGATACGTCTTAACAGTTCTTGTGTATCTTCTACAGTGACATCTTTGGGTTTCATACCAATAGTACGATGTTTTTTATCATTGTACTTTGATATGAGAGTTGGTAAAAGATTGATCCACTTGTAATTGCCTTGGAAACTGAATTGAGGCCACATCATATTTTTGAGAGTGCGGTTAAATCTTTCAACAATTGATGCTTTTAGATTACTATAAGTTGAATAGAGGTTAATATTCAATTCTTGCATCAAACTCTTAATTTCAGAGTTGTAAAATTCTTTGCCTCTATCAGTATGCAGGTTTTTTGGAATACGGCCTTGTTTTAAAATAGACTTCATTGCTATCGAAATATCTTTTCCATTTTTACTTTTTACAGGTACAGCCCAAGCATACTTGGAAAATATGTCTATAACTGTGAGCATATACTTGAAACCTTTATTGGATTTAGAATATGGAACCATTTCAACCAAATCTGCTTGCCAAGTTTCATCTATACCTCGCATTTGAACTTTACGGCGAGGATAATTTTTTCTATCTTGTTTATGCAATTCTGTAACCACAGTTAACTTTTTATTTTCCATTTTCGAGAGCGTTTAAGCGAGCATCTAATTCAGCAATATATTTAGCGTTTTGAAGAGACAACTCCTGTTCAGCATCAATTTCTATCCTTTTAAGTTTTTCGTTAATTCTCTCTTCGACAATTTGTATAAAAATATTCAAATCATCAATAGCTGATCTTAAAGATGATGTAACTTGAAAGACAATTTTTATCTCGTTTTGAACAATTTTCTGTGCAAATCTTAAATTTACTGCGTCATAAAGTTCTTCATCGTCTTGAACGTTGCAAAGTCTTTTGTTATCAATATCATAGTGTCCACTTGGAGTAACTTTGTATCCAATACCAGAGGGTCCTGGAAGTCCACGACTTGCAGCAGGCCGTGTTAAAGGATGTCCGAACACGTCAATGCTCATTATTATACTAAGATTTTTTGCTTGTACTCTCTTAATATATAATTCGAGCCTCACGCAATTCTTCAATAATTGATATAATCTCATTATTATGACTTGGATTGCCAGCTTGCTGTGATGCTATGAGCAAACGTAATCGGTCAACCAATTCATTTGGATCATCCCAATAGATGTAGTCTGGTTTAAATTGTTTCTTTACAATCATAAATTTAGGTAATATTTTTTTAAGCTTCTTTAAAGGACCACCACCACCACGTTTTTTTGGTGTATTTTTGAAAAGTTTTGCAATAATATCAGCGTATTTAGAAGTTTTAGTTACATGAACAGATTCACTTGGACTGTAATTCTTACGATGAGCATTGGTAACAGTAAGAATTTCTTTATAATTTGTTAAATCATCTGGACTTATTAAAGCTTCATTAGGTTTCTGCGTAAATATAAGTTCAAGTAACCCAGCAGTTTTTAAATAATTTTTCTTTCCAACAAGTTCAATATGTGAACCTTCAAATTCAATTGGTGTATCACCAATTATGAAAGAACCATCATTTAATTTACGTACACCATAAACCATATCCAGAACTTGTTTTCTATTTTTGTTCAACAATGAAATAAATTTATTTGTCAGCTTTTCATAATATTCTCTTCCTTCTTCTTCCTTCTCAAAATTATTGCTGTCATTACGTAAAGTCGATTCTAGTAAACTTGTATCAAATTCTTGATCATCAACAGCAGTTGAGTAAGAGAAATCGTGGTCTGCCTTTTTGACTTTTTCAAGTTTAATGTCTTTAACGGAAGAGTCAGTTACGTTTACCAGCTCTTGAAGTGGTGTAACTATTGGTTTAAGAGTTTCTTTCAACATTGTTTCTGCAGCCTCTTTACCCATTTTGAGTATGTGATGTTTTCGTCTAATAGCATCACTTGCTTTTGCTATTTGACGAAGAGTTTCTTGCTCTTTTCGATACATGTTTTCGTGATGACAACATAATCTATACTAATTAAAAGTAAATAATGTCCTTGTATCTATAGTGTAATGAAGCAATCAAATCCTTTCCTATATCGTCCATCATTGAAATTTCTATCCTTATCAACGACAACAAATCCATATTTATCAGACTTCCAGCATTCTGAACATAAATCATGAAATTGAGAATAAGTCATATCTGTATTCACGTGATCTTCATAGACATTCTTAAGATTTCTTTCATCTTGTCGAAAAAGTATCAATAAATTGACATTATCTCGAACTAAGTGCTTAGGAATACGTGCATATGTTTGACACAAGTAAAAACTGTCAACGTTTACATGTCTACCCATGCAAAAGAAAGCTCTAACATTGTCTTGCTTTTCACAAGCAATATCATCAAAAATAAATATTGAATTTGGCTTTGCATCTTTCGGTGATACTACTTCTTCATGTTCACTAAATGGAAAATACTCAACTCCAATTACGTTATTGATTACATTTTCCAAAAATTTATATTTGGGTTGCTGTAGAGACTTTGAGTAGAGGTAAATATTTTCAAAACTTAATCCATTTGGATGAATAATTAGAGAAATAAGAGCATTTGTTTTGCCACAATTTGAAGGACCGCAAAATACAGCTCGGATACTGTCTGAAAATAGACTACCATGACGTTTAATCTTTTTTTCATTAGTTTCAACGTCAATACTCGTAATTGGAAGTGCAACAGGTTGTTTCGTGAACTGCATCTTGACAGTGACTGCCCAAAAAGCTATAAATACCAGGCTTTTATAGTCTTTCAGTCAGTCTCACAACAAATGTCGTAGAGTGTGGAATGATTTTCCATCAAAACGTGAAAAAAGGTGTCTGTCGAGGTAAAGGCTTGGTCAACCGTATTATCAATAGTTTACCCTTTGAGTTACATTTACCTGGATACCAATTTTGTGGACCTGGTACAAAGTTGTCAAAGCGACTAGCTCGTGGTGATCAAGGCATTAATCCTTTAGACGCTGCATGCAAAGCACACGACATTGCATATTCACAAAATCGTGAAAATATTGAAGCAAGAAACGCTGCAGATAAAGTACTTGCAGAAAAAGCGTGGGAACGCGTTACAGCTGGCGATTCTAGTATCGGTGAAAAAGCAGCTGCTTTAGCTATATCTGGAACGATGAAAGCTAAATCAAAATTAGGTATGGGAGTGAAGAGGAAGAGAAAATCCTCTATTAAAAGGAGAAGCATGTGCAAGAAGAAACGAATTGCATTGAGGAAAGTTGTTGATGCTGCCAGAAAAAGTATGGTGCCTGGTAATAATGCTGAAGAATCAATTCGAGCTGCTATTATTGGTGCACGAAAAGCAATAAAAAATGCTGGTGGAAGATCTAACATTTTATCACCTAGAATTCTACCTATACCTTCTAAAGTTGGTGGAATTTTACCACTAGTTCCCATTTTTGCTGGACTAAGTGCATTAGGAGCTCTTGCTGGCGGAGCTTCAGGAATAGCAAGGGCTGTGAACAAGGCTAAATCGGTCAAGGAACAGTTAGCTGAAGCACACCGACATAATAAAGCAATGGAAGAAATATCGCTTGGAAAAGGACTGCATCTGAAACCTTATCGGCAAGGACTTGGTCTTCATATTAATCCCTACATTCAGGGTAAAGGAATTAAAAAGAAGAAACGAACATCTAGAAAAAGACAAACATCTAGGAAGCAAAAAAACTTGCATTGAAGCTACCTCACCATGCATTATCTGATTTTGATCTATTAAAGTTTGCCAAAGCTGTAAAAATACCACATTTTCGTGGAGTTTTTATGCGAAATGAACTTCCTGTTAAAGGACCTCGTCGATATGAATCGGCAATTGTTAATTTAGATAATAAAGAAGGTTCTGGTACTCATTGGGTTGCATATAAAAAATGTAACAATGAAACAATATATTTTGACAGTTTTGGCAATCTTCCTCCACCCACAGATCTCATCTTATATTTGGGTGATGGTAGCTTAATAAAATACAATCATGAGAGATATCAAAATTATGATACATTTGTATGTGGACATTTGTGTTTGAAATTTTTGTGTAAACAACTTCATGTTAAAAGCAGCTTTAGCCTATATAAGAACATGTAACCAATTTTAAGTTTTAGTATATAAACTGACACCATCATGAGTGATTCATTTACTTTAACGTTAACGGGAAACTCTTCAGTTCTTGAAGCTGAATATTTCCCTCCAATAGAACTCAATCCCAATAAAAGTTATGTACTTGGTCTTGTTGAACTACTGACTTCTAATTCAATTCCCAACATTGATGAAAGTAACAACAAGATGCATATAGGTTATAAAATGATTACAATACCTACTGGTAGTTATGAAATAAAAGATATTGAAGCATATATACAAAATTCCGTCCCAGATGATTATGAAATAAGTATAAAACCTAATAACAATACATTACGCAGTGTGATTCAATCTAGTCACCAAATTAATTTTACCCATCCGAATTCTATTAGTAAATTACTAGGATTCACTCCTCGTGAATTGAAGGGTAATGAGACACATACTTCAGATTTACCCGTATCTATTTTAAAAGTGAATGCTCTGCGTGTTGAGTGTAATATCACATCTGGAGCGTATATAAATAATCAAAAAGTCCACACCATCCATGAATTTTTTCCTAGCGTTCCACCAGGATATAAGATTGTGGAAGTGCCTGTACACGTCATTTATCTTCCGATTGCGGTCAAGACAATATATAACATTCAAATCCGCATTGTTGATCAGGACGGTGATTTGATAAATTTTCGTGGAGAAACTATAACGATCCGATTGCATATAAAATCAATGTAATGGGGATCGTTTATAATAAAAAAATTGGAGGTGGAACCTATAAAAGTCAACCAACATGCCGGAGACAAATCAGTCTAAATTTGTCTCACAAGGTGTTAACACCTCGGAATCACCTCTTCCTAAAACAAATAGGTCTAAAAGTTATTCCTCAAGGAAAGAGAAAACGACAGGGCAATTAATCTACATATTTTTTGGGTGTTGCTGCAACAAAAATGGACGAAATTCTCAATATTCCAGCTGCAGTGAATTTCGATGAGTCCATTGCTCATTATGAAATTCATTCTCATCAACCATATGCTTCATCATCTTTTAACAATAGTGATGAAATTCGAATTGCAGTTCAACATCAAGACTTGTGCATTCTACCAAGCAAAAGTTCATTACACATTTTTGGACGATTAACTAAAAATGATGGAATTACTGATACACAAAATATGCATTTAGTCAGCAACGCTATCTGTTTTTTGTTTGATGAAATTCGCTATGAATTGAATGGTATTGAGATTGATCGATGCAAATATGTTAGTCATACAACTATAATGAAAAATTACGTTTCTATAACCCCTCCTCAGCTAAATGTTATTGAAAATGCTGGGTTTTCAAAAATTACATTGGATTCAAGAATTACATTGGAAAATGGATATTTTGATGTTACAATACCATTAAGCATGATTTTTGGATTTGCTGAGGATTATAAAAAAATTATTATAAACGCTAAACATGAACTCATTTTAACAAGAGCACGTACTGACATGAATGCCATAATTCAGACAGGTCAAGGGGGTGATGAGCAATTCAAAATTGTAATTAATAAACTTGAATGGATGGTTCCATACATTTTACCCGCTGATAATAATAAAGTGAAACTATTGAAATTTATTGAAAGAGATGCTTTAATTTCAATAAGTTTTCGATCATGGGAAATGTATGAGTATCCTTTAGTTCCTACGAGTTCAAAAGTCCTATGGCAAATTAAAACTTCAACACAATTAGAAAAACCTCGATATGTAATTGTTGGATTTCAAACAGCGAGAAAAGATAAACGAAGAATTAATGCCTGTCATTTTGATCATTGTAATATTACAAATGTTAAACTCTTTTTAAATTCACAATATTATCCTTATGGAAATTTAAATCTAAACTTTGATCAAAATCAGTATGCTCTTCTTTATGAAATGTACTCTAATTTTCAAACTTCTTATTATGGAAAAGAATCAAAACCTATTGTAACAAAGAGTATATTTAAACAATTATATCCTCTAATTGTTATTGACTGTTCAAAACAAAATGAATTTTTGAAACAGGCATCAGTTGATGTAAGATTAGAATTTGAAGCAAGTAATAACATGCCAGCTGAGACCACTGCCTATTGCCTTATTATCCATGACCGTGTTGTGCAGTATAAGCCAATCAGCGGAGTCGTCAAAAAGCTGATGTAAAGGAGTGGGGGAGTATGAAGAGGTGGGGGTGAGGACGTATAAAAGCAGTTACACTGGACTAGAAATTCATTTCAGAATGGAGTTCATTGTAGACGTTCAAGGTTTCAAAAAACCATACAACGACTTTGTTTTTAAAGAATTGGCAATACTTCCTCTTCAATCTGACGCTCTGCCACTTGTTTTCTTGTTTGAGCCTCCTTGTCCATGGAATTCACTACCAGGACGCTACAAAAGTGAAAATCTTTGGTTAACACACTTACCATGGAATAGATTGGACAGCTGGAGATGTCCCATACGATGAACTTAGTTATCTTCTACAAGGAATACTACGAGGTGCGAGAGCCATTTATGTTAAAGGAATAGAAAAGAAGACTTGGCTAGAAAACCACTTATGTAATGTACACAATTTAGAAGATTTTAACTGTCCATCATTGAAAAAACTAGATACTAAATTAATAATACCATGTAAACATCATACCCATCATAGTGAAAATTGTGCTGCAAAAAATGTTAAAATTCTTCAAGAATGGTTTTTGGAACCTCCAAACCAGTACATAAGTATTGTTGCTAAAGAATCTGATGATCATGAAGTTGATTCTACTTTTACTACTACTTTAAAATCATTTTATGAAAATTCTGAATCTTTTTTGTAAATATTTCCATGTTTCTTAAAAAATAAACATTTTTAACTTCAAATTTAAAAGACTGTTTCTTTATTTAAAAAAACCTATCTGTAAAATACTTTAAAAAATCCTGAAAATAAACTTATTCTACTTAACTTATACTAGGAAGAAGAAAATAAATTAAAATCCAATTTATAGATAAAATTTTTCTATATTTTTTTTTAAAAGATTTTCTTTTTATATATACAATTTTTATTTTATTTTACAATTTTTTTTATTTCACAAATTGAAATTCAATGATATTATAAGTGCCTCCAAGATATTTCATTTGAAGCTGCTTAGCTATTGATGATGGCCTTTGTTGAGGTGTAGGTGGTTTTTGTTGAGGTGTTGGTGTAGGTGGTTTTTGTTGAGGTGTTGGTGTAGGTGGCCTTTGTTGAGGCGTTGGTGTAGGTGGTTTTTGTTGAGGTGTTGGTGTAGGTGGTTTTTGTTGAGGTGTTGGTGTAGGTGGTTTTTGTTGAGGTGTTGGTGTAGGTGGCCTTTGTTGAGGTGTTGGTGTAGGTGGTTTTTGTTGAGGTGTTGGTGTAGGTGGTTTTTGTTGAGGTGTTGGTGTAGGTGGCCTTTGTGTCAAATTGTTTTTGGGTGTTGGAATGTACACCTCATTGTCATGTTTTCCAATCGACGCTGGAACATACTCTTCATGTACGGTTTCCCACCGTGTCTTTCTAATCTGTTTTTTTTCTGCCTATACAATTTAATTATTTTAAAATTTAGTAATTATAAAATTTTATATTTTAAATTAGCAGAACAAATTAAACGATACTTTGTATTAAATATATTAAATATAATATATAAATTATAAATGTTATAAATATATATTATATTAAATATAATATATAAATTATAAATGTGTAATTTTAATCTAATTTATTAATTTTTTAATTTAAAAAAATCTCACTAATATAATATGAATAAAAAATTTTTAAACTCTAAATACACACATGCATAAAAAAATTTAAATACTTACATTTGTTTGTGGTTGATTGGATGATGATGATCTTTGTGGTTGATTCGATGATGATGTTGATGGTCTTAGTATTTGATTTAATGATTGTCTTTGTGGTTGATTTGACGATGACGGTCTTTGTTGAAAATTTTGTCGGTGAATTGGAATGGCTCCTGGACATCGTGGAAATCGTTGTTGTACTATTGGAAGTTGTGGTTGTTGATTTTGTTGTACATATGGATATCGGAGATTTTGTGGTGAATTTTGTTGTGTTGGAAATGATGACCAGGGTCCAAAACCAAAAAAATTCTGCAAAGTGATATATGTTACACTTTTAGGTTATTTTAATTAGAACATTAATATTAATATGAATTAGAAACTAAAATATTTTTTTTTTTAATTATCGTCTGACATGTTAAAGAATTAAAAAAATACTTACAAAAGATTGCGAGAATGACATGTATCTGCAGAAGCAGCACGTGCCGCAGAACATGTTATGAGTTTCATGTAAATTCTGTAAGAATATAAGAGTATATTAATTTATGGGATATATAATTACATAAATACATATTAAATAGTAAACAATTTAACTATAACTTACCATTTTTTCAACTTGCTTGACTTTTCACGGCAACGTGGTAGAGTTTCTCTCTCGAATTTAAACGTGAATGTGTCTGGACTAAAATACTGACGCTAACAATGCTACCAACTTTGAACATTTCCATAATGTTGGTAGGACATTCCGTTACGCCTGCAATTCTATTGGTTGAGACTATTCGCGGGGAATTGTGATTGGTTTTAATGAAAAGTCAAACCGTAAATAACTTTATTTTTACGTAACTTAAATTTAAATTAATTAATAAATAATTAATAATTAATTAATTAATTAATAAATAAATTAATTAATCAAATAGTAAAATATTAATTTATTCAGAGAAATGACAACTATTATCAAAATTATTAATGGTAAAAAACTGTACCCTCTATAAATTGAAAGCGATGATCGCAATCAATATCACTTGAAAACTAACTTTAGGATATGGTTACAATTGACAACACTTAAAAACGAACTTTTAGGCTATGACCACAATCGACAACCCTTACTTTGTTTCACATGATGAAATTTAATTTAAAAAACAACAGTATGTAGCATATAGATTTAAAAGAAATAATATTGCTATGTATTGCAGATTATAAAAATTGTTCAGTACAACCTGTATACAGTTTATTTAAAATAATTTTTGATATTTACAAATATTAAAAAAAAATTATTGCAGTTTTCAATAATTTTTGGTATATAAATTGGTGTGAAATTTAAAATTATCTAATAATTAAATGGCTTAAAATTTATTAATTTAGTGAAAAAAACCTTATAAGGGACTTTAATTTTTAAAGTGGCGCCATCTATCAGTGGCAGCCTGAATTACAAACATTGGTAACTTTGAAGGAAAATTTTAACATAAAAAAAATTTATTATAATATAAGTCATTTTCAATTCAGCGCGAAAATAATTTGGCGCTGTCTAGCGTTTCAGTCTGAACTAGCACGGTCGGTAATTTCAGCGGGAAATTTAAAACCTTCACCGCAAGCCAATTTAAATTCAACGTAAAAAAATATTGGCACCAACTAGCGGTGGCAGCACAAACTAAAAAATGTCGGTAAAAAATCCCCTTCAGCAAAACACACATTTTTCCCGACAAAATTCAAACATTTAAAAATTCAGTTAGCACAATTGGGCTATTTACTAGTAGCGCCATCTAGCAGTGGCAGCCAGAACTAGCATGGTCGGTAATTTCAGCGGGAAATTTAAAAAACTTTATTGCAAGCCATTTTGAATTGAGTAAAAAAAATTTCCCATATTGCAAGCCATTTTAAATTCGGCGCGAAAATAAAGTGGCGCTATCTAGCGGTGGCAGCCGAAACTAGAACGGTCGGTAAAGAAGAACACCACATTGCAACGCAGGTAAAAAATGTTGATAAAAGATTCCTACCTTACCGACCTCGGTCGGTAAGTGGCCCAGAACCCCCCTAGCTCTACTACTGTTATGTATTAAAAAATAAGATATTAAATTTAAACTCTTAGAAAACAATTTAAAAATTTATGAGTACAACTATTCGAAAAAATAGAAGCATTTTTTGGCGGTTCTGATGGTTTCTGTTGGCTAACAATTAATCCGAATTCTTTAAACAATGCAGCGTCAGGAGTTTGTTTTCCTCCATCGTGGTTATTTTCATTTAATTTATCACAATCGTCCTCGATAATAATGTCATCTTCTTCAAAGAAGGTATTTTAAAAAGTAAATAAATTATTATCATACAATAAAAGTAAAAAAATGAAAAAGTATTTTTAATAATACATTGTGCAATTAGTGGTAAAAATGAGCGATTTCACGGGTGTGAAGTTGGTGCTAGAACATAGTCAAACCAGCAGTCACAGTGAAATCATTTTTTACCACGAGTTGCTTATAATGTCCTCCCCAACGCCTTGCGAGAAAAGTCTTTTTCCTATATTTTCTATAATTTTAATTAAACGTGTTATTATTGTTTTACACAAAATGTATGAGTAGAAGATCTCAAAAATGTGAATGATGTCATGAGATTTAATTTTGCCACACTAAAATATATTTTCCACACGATAAATTTACTTTTACCACTGTTTTCAAAATCAGAAGGGAATCTTTTGTCGCACTTTTTCAACATGAAAAGTAGTACTTTCAGAGCAAGTGTTGAGGATAAAATATGGATACCTTCAGATTCCGAAGTATTAAATTCTTGATCCATCTTATCTGCTCTAGTACAACTTTCAGTCTGCATAAAATTAATGTTTAAATAAATGAGTGTAATCATTCAAATTTTTCTTTTTGAAAATTGAATAGAAACTATACAATTTTTAATTTAACTGACAAAATTATTTTTTAGAAAAATTATAAAATTTTTAAAACACAATTTTTTATGTTAAAACCGTGACTTACACTCGGATTTTTTGCCACTGTCGTACTGCTCTTTTTACCTATAATAGCGCTATTGTTTGGCATCAATTGGTTTAACGCTTTTAATTCTCATTCTTTTGCGGGAGGAAGAACTAAATCGCTGCTAATATTAATAACAGTATTAATTTTAATTTATTAAATCATATATTACATATTATATACATATAACATACATATAATATTTAATATATAATAAATTATATAAAAGAATTAAATTAATAATAATAGTAATAGCAAATTATATGTGGGTCATTCCATTACATTTCACCGAAAGTCGTTGCGGACTAATTTTTAAAAAAGCTGATACTTTCAGAAATGATTCTTTATGATATTTAGGAAACGAAATAAAAAGAATTAAGTTAAAATTTTTATTATTAATCCTAAAATATGTATTTAAAGTCGACAAGGTGCGGAAAAATGTCACCTTTTTAGCATTTAGAAACTTTTTTTAAAAACATAGAAAAATTGTTAAAAGTGTAAAAAAAATTATTGTTCTTGTTTAGAATCGATTAATTATCTATTTTTTAATGATTAATTCTTTTTATTTTGTTTCCTAAATACCATAAAGAATTATTTCTGAAAGTATCAGCTGTTTTAAACATTAGGCCGCAACGACTTTAGGTGAAATGTAATGGAATGACCCATGTATATTAGTTTAAACAGTACTTTTGCTCTTTTGACAGAAGCAGTATTAATTGCTCATCTAAAACTCCATAATCTATTGCAATTGGGGATCCACCTCCTGTTGCATCACGATTTTTTTTCTCATCCCTCATTTTTATTCTTACGTCGCTTTTCCACTTGTTCCAAATCTAAATTTATATTATATTATATGATGTTACATCCCAGTAACAAATTTTAAACTTCGTTCAATACATATATATATAAATAATAAACCATAAAATTTATTTTGTATTTAAAACAGTTAAAAATAATATCTTAAAACTATAATTATTTCAAAAATTATGTAAAAGCATTGATTCATATTCATATACGCGCGACTATATCTATATATATGCATATCTCTGCCTGCATGTTATGACTCGTCGCGAGCGAGCGATATATATAGATATAGTGCGTACAGGCATGGATATGTGAATATAGATATAGCGAGTAGATGCATCACCGAAGGTGACCTCCCGCTACAAAAGGGCTATGCTGAGGAATCGCGTGTGGTTGTTGAACAAGAGCGAAAACTATCTACACTAGTTTTCGCCCTAATTCTTCAAAATTAATTAATTCTTTTTGCTATTATATTTAAAATACAGTTATCTATTACTTTAAAATAATAAATCTTATACATTTTAAACTTAAAGCATTTAAAATGCCATTATTCAAAAATATAAATAATGTTCAGTATATAAAATTTTTCTAATTTGAATCCCACGCAATGCTTCAGCTAATTCTTAGGAATTGTTTTTGCAGCTGCATAAAGTATAAAGTCTTATGCGATGATCTACTTCTCACTTGTATCAAATCGCATAGGCTAACCTTTGACTTGAATATCGAAAGCCTGGTAGGCTATTCCTAGAAATTAAACCTATGCCATTTGACACTACTACGCATATTACTCAGTAGCAGCGAGTGGACTTATGACTCATGTAAGCGTTAGCGAGGCGCAAGCACAGTATTCTAGCGTCGCAATATTGTGAGATGCTTGTAGACAATGTAATAGCGATACTTGTGCTATGCGATACAGGATGCAGGTGTTCATCTAAGCTCTGAGAATTGTTACAGTTCTATGAAAATCTAAGAGTCAAGCTTAGAGATGGGGTGATCTTTGAACTTATTTACTCCCACTGAGGGTAATTTTCTAGTATAAAAACCCATGCAAATCCATTGTCAATCGTCAGTTGCTCCGGAATCATTCTATAATTCATTTTCTTAAAGTAAATTCACCATCGTGAAGCTTGACCCTTCGGTTATTTTGAAAGTTCTACGACTGTAACTCTTGCATCTCAAACAGTATATGTTTACTCGTTGTTCGGTTTTTGAGCAAGTAATCATCATCGCCAGATTTGTGAGCTTGTCAATTATTGAAATTTAAAATAAATCGTCGTATTAGTGTATTCTCATTTATCGATTTTGCAAACGTGACGTGTGTGCATTTCGGAGTTTACGAACTAAAAAAAACTGTGAAGAAGTCCCAACTGTTCCTTTTAAGGAGTTGTAAAAACTCACAGCGTCGCTGACAAGTGCCAACTTGTTTTATATTCATTTCTGCCCTCTGAACAGAGGTAATTGTAAGTACTATATTTATAAAACACAATTTTCTTTGTAACAACATTTTTACACTAAAACACCTTTGTAATATTTTGAGTTTAATTCATTTATATTAATAAATTATACAAAGTTTAAATTAATAAAATTCTTTATTAATTTCTCATTTACCTAAAATTATCATAACTATTCATATTCAACTTAACAATTATAAGTGGAAAGGCAATTATTTAATAGTAAATTACTTAAAGACGACCCCCATAGGATCGATAGGAACAAACGTTCTCACATAAAAATAAATGGTCAAGCCTTACCAACTTGACTTAATCAGCCTACCATTCCTCCAAAATTTAAAAATTGATTTTATTAATTAAAATTAAATTCAACCTCGCCTTTCGCTCGGGATGTAACAGCTGATTTGGTGGCAGCGGTGGGATTTGTTACCTTTCTTTTTTCAAAAAAAAAAAAAATAAACAAAAATTTTATTTTATTTTTTTTGTATTCCACTTTTTTTA